TCCCATCCTGCTCGCACGGCTGAGTGTGCGGCACCCCCTCCCATCCTGCTCGCACGGCTGAGTGTGCGGCATCCCCGTTTCCAGATCCGTGCCTCTGATCGCCTCGTCAGACGCTTAAATCTGTCCTTTTCATTACTGAGGCTTCTGGTGCCTCCAAATAACTTGATTTAATTCACTGAGAAAAAATACAGAAAGCCTCTTTGCATATGCAAATGTGACAGGGCGCCCCAATGCGCTGCCTTCTCCCTGTTCCAGGGGGGTTTGTACCTTTAGCCACCCCCCTCCCCCAGCGTGCGTGTGACACCCTGCCCGCGGCCCGGCCAGGTTCTGGCCTCCGCTCCCTGCCCTGGCTGCTTGGATCCTGTCCCAAATGGCCCGTTTGCTGGATTTAGCCCTTTGCCTCCGACTCGGGCCACGGAAGCAGCGCCTGTGCACATTAAAAGCGTGTCACGGCGCTCCAGGGTGCCATCTAACACGGAGATCCCGTCTGCTCCCGCGGCATGCACACTGGGTGGGGACAGCTGCGTTAAACTGGGGGGCGCGAGGGAGGGAGAGCAAGTGTGAGAGGGGGAGGCGGGGTGGGTGCCACACACACACACACACACACACACACAGATAGCAGTTGATAGTGAGGCTTCTGGTTTCATCAGGCCTCTGGTTCCACTGCGTCCTGTCAAACTGCTTAGAGTGCCCCCCCCCACCCCAATCCACCATTACCGGGAGTCATGCCGGCCTCCCGTCAGGTGCACCCCTGCCCCCCCGCCCGCTCCTGTCTCCGGGAGCCGTCAGGGAACATTCCTGCCGGACTGTAATGATAGCCCCCCCACCCCCCTGGATGGTGTGGCTCGCTCTCTCTCTCGCTTGCCCGCCCTCCCGCTCGCTGACTGATTGTGCGTTTGCGGCGTTCGCTCTTAATTAAAAGCCCCACTTAGTGAGCCTCAGCCTTTTCTCCTGCACTCTTTAGCGAGCTGTTCCAATCAGCTATGTCCCTCCCCCCCCCCCCACCCCTGCGTGCGGTGGGGCTCCGCGACTCTCCCCCAAGAGCATTGCAATCTGAATCTCGCTCAGAATTAGCACGTAGCCCCTGGCCACACCTTGGCTCGTCTTTCTGGGTTGGTCTGCACGGGGTGGGCACTGTTGAAGTCGGGCGGTGGGGGGTGGGTTTTTTTGCTATGCCTTCTGTCAGACTGGTGGGGGGGCTAGGGGGTCCTTTACTGTCGACTGAGCTGTGGTTTTTACGGGCTGACCTATGCGGTTTAACGTCCGGTTTAACGTGCGCCATCTCGTGTGCAGATGACTGTAATCGATCCGCTGTGCTAAGAATCTTTTATTTATAGCGATTGGCGTGCGTCTGTGAAGCACGAGTAGGACAGCTGGCAGCATGTCAGAGCGGGAGGCCTGAGACAGTCCTGAGCGCCGCTGTTAAAAACAAACACCAGCGAGTAATGAGATTAGCCCGCAGCCGGCGCTGTAAGGGGTTAACTGGGTGCTCGTCTCGCTGCCTGAGCGCGGTAACCTACCGATTCCTCCCTGTTTGGTCGCACCGATCTCCCGGCGAGAGACCCCCCCCTCCCTGCCCGGCTCTTAAAGACCTTTATTGGTTTGTTTAATGTGCCGCTTAATGTTGCCGGTCGCCTGTGTGGCCCTTTCCAGGCCGGCGCTCTCCGACCCCGGAAGCAGGAGCCGCCGTCACACATCGCTACTGGGAATCCGGAAGGCGTGCACTGGCGAAGAATGCGGTCATATTTTCTTTTTATTCTAAGACCACTTCCCGGGGGTAAATGTGAAGTGTTTATTAAAGACGGCAGCGAGTGTCGCCGTATCGCCTGTGGGTGGGGCCCCTCCCTCCCCCGCGCCGTTTCCCGGATACCAGGCGGGGGAGGTGGCGTGACGGGCAGTGCCAGCGTGCGCTGGGCCTGTGGCATGAATGGGTGCTCTCAGCGGAGGGCTTAAAGGCCAGGCCCAGTCAAAGGGGGGGGTGGCCGTGATGGTGGCCGCATTCCCTCCCCTGACATCGCCAGCTAGAAGCTTAACTGCCACAGGAAAAAGAGCAAAGGCTGCGCAGGCTTGTTATTCTGAACCTCCCTTCAGCGGTTAAACTGCGGAACGTTTTCATTTGATTTATTTGTTTTTTGTTTTATTTATTCAGATGAAGCAGCATGCAGTTGAAAAGGCAGCGACAGCCAGTCCACGGGGCAGTTCTGCTGACCCTGGGATTCGAACCTACAGCCTTACCAATGAGGGGCACAGGGTTCTAACCCTCACTATTCAGGGCTCTGCTTTAACCTGATTGGCCCAGGCTGGCGCGGCCCTGTCCGTTTACTGAGATCGGTGTCCTCAGGGCAGAGATGCAGGACACGTGTCTGTCAGATGCCCCAAGGGAAGGGGACGTGTAGAGATGTACGGGTCGGTCGCGGAGTGCTAAATCCGCGTTCATTACCTTGTCGCCGTCCTCTGGCTGCGTGCTCGTCACTAAAGATGGGGGGGGAGGGGGTGAATCTCCGTGACATTTAGCTCCCTGTTTTATCTTACTGTTCGCGTGATTGACTGGATTTAACCGGAGCAGAAATGAACAGATAATCACCTTTGCTCTTGTTTTATTCCTCCTCCGAACATCTGCCGGCCCGCAGAGGCTCTGTGCCGTCGATGGCGGCTCCGGAATCTGAGTCATCGCCCGCCGTGAACCTGCCATTAATCATAGCGCGTTTAATTCCGGTTCTGTCCAGATACGGCGCTGAAACGGATCGGCGTCTCAGCGCAGCAGTGCAGCCCCCTCGTCGGGCAGCTGCAGAGGCCCTCTGACACTTTAGATGCACCTCAGGTTGAGAATGTGTTCATTCTCCGGAGAGCTGGAAACCACTTGTGCACGAGGGGGGGGGGCACCCAAAAGGCGAGATCCATATGCTTCACTACTTGTTTATCCCTTGCTTTTCACCCTGGGGAGGAGCGATTACTACCAGCTACTTCCCATCATTGAAAATAAATCATTCTTTCTCCACCCAAAGAGATGGTGGTGGGGCTGCCTTTTGGGGGGGGGGAGGGCTTGAAAACTAGCAGTTCCTTGAGAGCAGATTTGTTAACCAGATGTCCAAAATATTCATTTGACCATTGTGGACAGATTGGATGAGCTATTCTCAGCCTTCGCCATTTTGCAAAGAGGGAAGTGGAAATTATAAAAGACCTGGCTGGAATTGCTGAAATTTGCATAGAAATAGGAATTTGAAAGAGATTGAAGTTTAAATGAGCTTTTTTTTTTTTCTCCCGGGGTCTATTAAACATAGTTCCATTGCTCTTTTCTGTCAACAAAGTAATAAATAAATAAATAGATTAAATAAATAAATAAGGAGAGGCCTCTATGGCTGCGACCTGGACATTAAGCCAATTATCAGGGTCGTCCTTCTTTCTGATTTTTGACTGAATACCGGGCAAAATAACGCAGGATACGTCCAGGGTGACTTATGAACAGAGGAGCCGCTGTGGCGACCTTGTCGCGTGTGGTATCACCGTGGTATCACCGTGGTATCACCGTGGTATCACCGTGGTATCACCGTGGGAACAGGCAAATAAATAAATCCCCTGTCCACTTGTGTGGTGACGGCAGCGGAATGTGCACCTTGTTGTTTGTTTGTTTTTGTGTTTCTCGCCCCTTTGGTCTGACGAGGACAAAGCAAAGCTGGAGCAGCATCCTGCCCCTCTGCCGCATCGGAGCCCCCCCCCCTTCTCCGCTGCGCTGGTATTTACACTGCTTTGCTTCCTCTGTCTCCGTGCCTGCAGGAAGTGGTGCTCTATTGCCTGGAGAATAAAGTCTGTGACGTGAATCACCGTGACAACGCCGGCTACTGTGCGCTGCATGAGGCCTGTGCTCACGGCTGGCTGTCCATCGCACAGCACCTGCTGGAGTACGGAGCGGACATCAACTGCAATGCCCAGGATGGCACCAGGTACTGGCCGTCCCTGTCCAGTCCCCTGTCTCCCAGCAACACACACAGAATTCCCAGTATTTGCAATAGATGCTGTTCTGTTCAGTTCTCTCCTTAGAGCAAAACACCACCACTGCGTATGAAAGATGTTAAGTTTCAGCGTGATTTATATAAGGCTGTTGTCATTTGCGAAAAAAAACAAAACTTTGGCTTAACCAGTGAAGTCGTCATAATTTAAAATTCCAGTAAAAGCCTAGATTTTATAACTGCCCAGATAAATGAGCGAGTCGCTGTTTGACGGCCTACGGGTCGTTCCGGAATCACAGCACTACACGTGGAAGTTGAACATGGATTCAGCTGCAGCTTTAGCACCTCATAAAGGGACTTTTTCTTCTACGATGGCTCACGAGGTTCCTCGTTTGAGGTTCTCCGGTGTTTCAGGAGGATGCCGGCATCACCCCTGTCTTGATACAGGGACAGTGAAATCCGATTGGTCCCCAGAGTACCCCCTTCACTGTCACTCACGAATTCAAAACATATTGGCTAATGATAAAGTTGACCCCTCTCTATGGATTTTGGCCCTTCTTATGCCCTCTGTAAAGTCCTAGAATCGCCCCTGACTTTACGCTCCCCTGAAGTTTACGGGGGGAGTGTGCCCGCTTCTCTAACCGGTGTTTTTATCCCTCTCTGTGCCCCCCTCCGACCGATGGCAGACCTCTGCACGATGCGGTTGAGAATGACCACCTGGACGTGGTGAGGCTGCTCCTGTCCTACGGGGCGGACCCCACGCTGGCTACCTACTCGGGCCGTGGGCTCCTCAAGATGACGCACAGCGAGATGATGGAGTGCTTCCTGCTAGGTGAGCAGCCGCCGCTGCCTCGGGCTGTAGCCGCCCTGTTACTTAGCAACCGGCTGCGTATTTACTTTAAGTGCGAGGTCTCCTGTCGGGGAAATTGCGAGCTTCTTAGAACAGATTTAGGACTCGCCGAAGCTGCCGGGCTGCCTTCCTCTTCCTGGGAGCGGCCTTGCTTTCCCGCTCCCCCACCCCCCCTCTTTTTTTAATAACCGATTTGCCGTAGCGCAGTGTGGTTTGAGCCAGTCCCGGTTCCGCTGTGGCGAGACCATGTAAAAGGGACTCCGGGAGCGCGCCAGCTGTTGGAATCGGGTCTCGGAGGACGGAACGCCGGTAACATATGCCGCCATTGCGAGGCCGCGCCGGGCCGCAGAGCAGATGGGCGAGAAGCTGTCTTTCGGAGGGGAGGTGTGCAAAGTCTGCAGTGTGCCGTGACCAGCTCCCGGTGCGGCCCCCCCGACCCCAACCGCCCGGGTGTTGGGGTGATATTAATCAGTCCGGCTGCCACAGGGGCCACACACAAGCAGGGTGTACTGTTCCCGTTGCAGATCCTGGATTCACATCACTGGGGGCACCGTCCCCCCCCCCCCATCAAATAGGGCCCAATTAACGGTGAGACAGAGACAGACGGGGGTGTCTGCCAGTGTGTCCACATCCGTCCTCACTTTGAAGTGCAGGGATTCCACCTAGCAGCAGCATTTGCTTGGTTACACTCCTTGAGGGTGTGCTGTTATTTGGGGGGGGGGGGTATTGCTAACAAACTCACAAGGGGAAAACGTCCTGAGAATTGACATGGTCAGTATCAGCCTTTGCTGGTGTTTCCTTGACAAAATAGTGCCGATTATCCCGGTCAGGGTGAAATGTTCATTTCCCCCCCCAAGCACCCGGGGCCCCCAGCGCAGGGTTAAAGTTCCTAGGCTTGCAGAATCGGCCATCCGGAGGCGCGGTGCTAATCCGGAACCGCCGTAAATGAGATTCGGCAGGAGCCACGTTCATAATCTCGCCCCGATGGGATGAAAGTGCCGGCTTGAGTGTGAACTTCTCATATCATTACTCACCCAGAGCGGCTTTGCCGCCCTGCCCTGCTCTGCTCTCTGCCGCCCTGCTCTCTCTGCCGCCCTGCCCTGCTCTCTCTGCCGCCTTTCCTGTACGCGGTCACCCTCATTAGGGGCCTCCCCCTTCTCGAAGCTTTCGGATGTACTGGCTTTCGATTTCACTCGCCGAGGGGCCGCTCACGGTTCACCCTCTTACCAGCAGTGGTGAGCAATCGGCTGAGACTTTCCCGTAATAGACGATGAAACCGCACGCCTCTCTGCTCCGGGTCTCAGTGCTACACTGAGGTATCGGGGGGGGGGGGGGGCCTCTAGTCACATGGGCTGGCTGCCCCCCCTTGTCCTGGGAAGGGTGGTGTGATTAGCGGAGGAGTGGCAGGCATGCTAATTACCGCCTCCCACTTACCCACTGCACGCTACCCCCACCCCCCACGAGGACAGCCACCATCACAGTAAGCATAGCCTCCCTTTGCTGCCGTCTCTCACCGGATCTGCTTGCGTTTGGTTGCCTTCTCACATCCTTCCTCTTCTGAGCAAAGAAATAATCAGGATATCTTGTACGAATCTGCTGTATGTGGGGTAGGGGTGTAAGTTTGAAGTTATAAATGTGTCATTTTTAGCCTCCTTAAGGTTACTTTCTAAACTGGGTCCGGTATAGTAGCTTCCTGTCACCGTGACCCCCTCACACCGCGCGAGCGTGAAGCACCTCCCCCCCGCACAGCTGTGGAGAGTCGAGCTGGAAGCGTCGGTCGCTGAAAGGCAGACGTTTAGCTTGGCTGAGGCGGCCCCATTCTGGCAGAGCGGTCTCCGTGGTTTCAGTAGCGGTTTCCTATTGGCTGGTGCACGGCAGCCTTGATAGATGTGAGGCAAGTTCTCCGGAGCCCGGTGCAGTCACATGCTGGGCCATTTCATCCCGCCGCCCCCCCCCCCCCCCCCCGGCTCCTGTCTGCTTGATTCATCCCCTCCAAGGGTATCGTCAAGGCGCGCGGCGGAAAGAGCGTGGTAAATCAGCGCTGCGACCCGGCACGCTGTCTGCCTCGTTGATTTACGCCGCCCCCTCCCCCCCGCGCCCCTCCCGTCGGCCCGTTCCTGCGCGCTGGGAGATTTCTAATCAAGCACAGCACAGCCCATCTCGTCTATCCGCGCCAGGGTCGGGCCGTGCCCGTTAAATACTGCTCCCGTTGGACCCGGGGGGGGGAAGCGACCCCTGCCGTCGCAGACACCTGGTCCCATTTTACCGGTCGGGGTCGAGCCACGGCCCCTCTGGCCCCTATGGAACCTCCTCAGCGGGGTTAGCGGCGCTTGCTGTCCTCCTATTTATCAGCGATCGTTAGCAGTTTGTCCTCTAGCGTATGATTTAAGAGCTCCTTGTCTGCCGGTGATAAGCGGCTGCTTGTGTTTCCTGTACGTCTCTCTGTGCGTGGCTGCGGTCGTCTGACAGACTGTCCCCCCCCCCCCTCCCCCCGACTCTCAGATTACTTTGCCGATCTGCAAGGCCGTGACGATGACGACCCCCGGCTCCGCTGGGAGCTCTACGGCAGTGTGCTGTGCGGTGAGTTCTGTCATATTGCCACATACGACCCGCATGACATCGCTGGGGCAGGACAGCCGATCATCTGCAGGGACAAAGGACACTCGGAGTTAACCTTCCGCAATTCCATTGCTTTCATATTATGTTAGAAGCCCGAATGTGACAACACAGTTTAAACTTTGATGATGAAATAATGGACAGTGGAGCTCATGTAAGCGTGAGCAGGGGTCACTGCAAAGACATGGGTTCGAGATGCATTTCCGGCTAGTGGTTGGACAGAGCCCCCCCCCCCCCATAATAACCGGGGGAAGTTGAGGTGGTTGAGATAAAAATCCATAAATTGACTCTGCTGAAGCGCTTATTGCCTGGCAGGCCAGCTGTAGGAGGAAAACAGACATGCCCCCCCCTAACCAGATCTCCTCTTCCTCCTCCTGAGGAAGAGACAGTAATTCTATCCACGTCGTCTTTTTTTTTCTTTTTCTTTTTCTTACATTCCCAGTTTAATCACTGGGATAATTGCATTCAAACTCCCAGCAGCTATTTACTGCCTGCCAGAATCGTTCTTCACGCATTCCCAGCTCTCCCCGGAACGCTGTCTACGCAGCGTGGCGAGATTTAAAACGAGCGGATATCTGGCAAGCGACAGGAGCTCAGACCTCGCCGGTGAATCGGGGCTCTTAAGCCAGGAGGGGGGGCGTTAGAGAAAAGGGTAGCAGTGGCGTGGTGCTGTTTATGTAACCCCACCCCCAAAATCGCCCACAGATGGAGACACGAGGCCCCATCATCTGACAGGAACAGAAATCCCCCCCCCCACGAGACTTCCTCAGTTTGCCGTCTGGCTGGTGTGTGTGTGTGTGCGTGTGTGCGTGTATGCGCTTGTGTGTGTGTGTGCGCTTGTGTGTCTCTGTGTGTGTGTGCGCGCGTGTATGTGCACACGCCAGTACCAAGGGGGGCTTTCTGAACACTCCCCGCCCCTCGCTGTTTACAGAGCCTGCTGAGGACTGGGCTGCCTTCGACATCCTGGCCAACCCGCCCGGGCCTGGCGAAGATGAGGAGGAGGAGGAGGGTGAGCAGAGGGGCGTGTTCGAGTTCGAGTTCTCCGACCGGCCGCTCCTGCCCTGCTACAACATCCAGGTGTCCCTGTCCCAGGGGTGAGTCCCTCTGACTCTGCAGTAATACAGCTGTCAGCCCCCCCAGGTGGCCGCAGGAGCGACTCCCCCTGTGTTGCTTTCAGACTCTGCTTTGAGGCCCCTGACCACCCACCTCCCGATTTCACCCCCCCTTCCCCCCGGGGGCCGCACACCCGCCTGTACATGGCAGAGCGCGGCACCGGAAAGGCAAACAAAAGCCGTGAGATCTAATTGCCTCCCACATTGTACTGCTGCGCACCGTCCCCCCCCCAACCCCTGCCGGCAGCCACTTGATCCTGATGCAGTATTAATGGCTCTCCTGTGCTGCCCCCCCCACCACCACCACCTATCCCTCCTCTCATTGTGCCCCCCCACCCACCCAGCTGCCGAAAGGCCTGGTTTCAGTGGCATCGATTTTGCGGTGTCTGTTTCCCCTCTGTCCAGCCACACTTCTCTGTGTGCGTGTGTGTGCGCGCGCACGTGTACATGTGCGCATCAAGAAGGCTTTACTTGACCTGCATGACTGAATGATGCGTGTGTGTGACGGGGCCCCCACTGAAACTTTAGAAGCCGTAGACAGTGTGAAACGTGTGAAATGGCAGAGGACGGCGTCTCATTGTCGCCGCCTTCCTGACTGGCCCCGCCCCCTTGTCCTGCCCCGCCCCCTTGTCCTGCCCTGCCCAGGCCCCGCAACTGGCTGCTGCTCTCGGACGTGCTGAAGAGGCTGAAGATGTCGGCCCGGACGTTCCGCGCCGCCTTTGCGCACATCGAGGTGGCCACCATCGCAGAGGCCGAATTCTACAAGCAGGCCTCGCTTAGCCAGCTCTTCTCCTGCCCCCAGGAGCTCGAGGGCTTCCTGCCGGACAGCAAGGAGCTGCTGGACCTGGTGGAGATTAGCGGAGAGCTGGTCACACTCCTGGGCTCCTCCATAGAGTGCCTGGATGACCACTGGGATTCCGGCGCTATTGCAGACTCATGACATTGTTGTGGCATCTCTTGTATATTGTGTAGATACCGGAGAATGTTCCGGACTGGACTACAGAGTCAACGGCCCAGCAACAAAGGGAGACGTGTCCAATTCTTTGGAAAAAGACTAATTTATCTCTTATTTTTATAAATATAAATGTGTAAAATATTCCTTTGATTTTTTTATTATTATTATTTTATATATGCAGGCCATTTTTCCCCTGTGGGAGAATGTTTACTTTTAGCTTGTATCCAGAGTTGGGAGGCAGTGCAGATTACCGTCATGCTCGTAGGACTGCAGCCAGGCTTCTCTGTTTTAATTACGCAGTGCACTTCGTTACCGGTTTACAGACTTGCCTGTCCTGGTCAGGTAAATTAATATTGTTTTGCAAACCTAATGTTATTTTTGAAATATTTTCAATGAGGGCATCTTCGCGGGGAAGATGGTGACCGTCTAAGATGTGTTCCTCAGAGTTTGATGTTCAGGAGCAGATTTGTACCTGTGTTTGAACTCCCCCCCCCCCACACACTTTTTTTGTCCCTTATTTAAGATGAGAAAAATTAAGATATTTTCATGTTTTTGTTTTGTTTTTTTTTTTGTAAAATATTAAAGAACTTTTAAAATACTAAAATGAGCTGTTTCTCAGAAAACATGCTTTAACTTGTAAATAATGGGATGATAATTGCTGTAACTGTTTCTCATTGGTGTGTTTATCATTTTGGGGACATGTTTAAACTTTGTAATTAATAAATGCCCCATTTGTATTTATATTTTACAAAAAATTTTCTCTAAATGGCAATAAAATGATAAAACGCCTTCAGCGGCCACCATTTCTTTAATGCGAGATCTTGGGGGAGGGGACGCAAGACAGAACCGTTTTTAAGCGTCGGGGTAGGGAGGGGGGGTGCCTGCCACCCGCGCATAGGTCAGATATCGGGTACTACATTCACAACAGCAATGCAGCTTATCGATTTAACGCACATATGTTTAAATGGGTTTGACAAGTTACCCCAAGGGCAAAAAGAGCGATGGCGTAATTATGTTTAGGCACTGGGAATAATTTGTCACCGTGCCGGATTTTTCCCCCCGATTTGGTTTTGAGGAATGCTAACCAGGCTGTCATTTCGACAGTTTTATGACAAAGGCCGGCGATGACCGGCGATGGCTACGTGACCGCCGCTCCCACATCGTAACGACTTCAGCTTTTAAAGCTTCGGGTCCAAAACATTCAAGGATGATCTTGTATTAATAGAAATATAGAAGAAAAGACATAAAAGAGGGCACTGAATATATAACTACAAAAATCATAAATAATGTGCCATTACACTTAGTACTGGTCTGCATATGATAGAATAAAACAAGTCTGACCTTCATGACGTTGACATAAGGCTATAGAGGGACTTCTGAAATTAATCATACCAAAATGCATTGGTCTACTCCGGTAAACAGCATTCAGCTGTACGATATTCCTGGAAGGTTTAACGCTGTCTGTCTTCCCAGCGCGGCGTCACTTCGACGGGCTGCCTTAAGCGGGTCGTGATGGCGAGCTGGCAGACGTGATTAAATAACTAGATGCTTTTTGCACCTCTCCTGAACACTTAACCATTCGTGCACCATTCCGATCACGTTCCTACACACATTGAAACTCGCATCCGACACCCGGCCTCCTCAACACAGCCCCGGTACTGAAATTTGTAATATTAGCGTCACTCCGGCGCTACGTAATAATGGCGAGCTGGAGACAGGACGGCGCTGGGTGGAATAAAATGACCTTTATTTAGAGACCGGGGTCTTTAAAATACGAGAAACAGTAAGACAGCATTAACCCTAAGAAAGACATCTAGCTAAATGTCCTATGAGAGACGTTTGGTTTTAATCACATGTTGCAATAACATGCATGCATGCCACAGAGAGAGACTGAGTCAAGGGATGAACGTTACTGTTACCCAAATGTACTTAAACCAGTTGAAGCCCTTGCTAAAGTGACCGATCCTGTAATCTTGTGTGACCTTATATATTGTATTTCCTATATAATTGTCGGTAATGTCCTCAGCAAGGCAGATCGCCCGGTCGAAAGAATGAAGAGGAGAAATTTAGATTAGGGCAAAGGACCAGCCGGGCGGTGGCGATTCCTAGGGCGAGCTCACACTTCGCCCGGTTGTCCTTGTACCGTGCCCCCCCGCCCCGGCTGTCGTCCGAGCACATTCCACTTTCCCGGCTCGAGCACGCTTCCGTCCTCACCGTGCAACTTTCTTTGTGTTGAAGAAAACAAGAAAGTAAATGCTGTCTCACAGCAGAATGGGATTCCGGATCAATGTCCCCATTTTGTGATTTATTCGGAGTCGTTTTGGGCACGATGACACACATAGATTTATCAAGTTTGCAGCGCAGCAATTTTTTATTGATTCGTCCCACATTTTACCGAATATCCCAGTTTGAGCAGACTATAGTGCTGCACAGGATACCGGTACCGAAAAGTGGTGCCGCATTTTTGAGAGTTGTTCGGTGTTACATTTCTTTAGTACTGTTACTAATTACAGTATTACAGTAATTACTATTATAACATGGACTCATTATGTCGGAACCACTGCCGAAACTCAGTTATACCTTATGTCAGCTTGATCTCCCTCACTTTATGTCCGTGATTTATGTAAGGGATCTTATAGCAAGATCTTATAATAAAGCAGACTACGTTAATATCATCAAACTAACATCGGTACCTGTAGATTATTATGATGCGCCGTGTTTTAAGCAGTTAGAAGGTCTTTTTTATATGTTTATTGAGCAGATGAACAAAAGAAACTACTATAACCTTTACGGGCGCTTATGTTATCTGTAAAAACAAAACCAAAAAAAATCTGTACAGCCTACTCGATCCGTTCCATCCGTGCCTGAGTTGACTAATCGTTATCTGGCCGCCCCTCCAAGCGGTACCGCGTCCGGGTACCGTACGGCACGATCACACTCAGTCAAACGACCTGGACTTTGGGGGTCAAACGTGCTCGGGCACGGTACGGATCAGCTAGAGTGAGTACACCCCCCTCACTGCAGCCCCGGCTTAATGGGATACAGATTCCCTGTCGAGATTAGCCCCCTGTCACTACAGACTCGGGACGATAGGTACAACGCGTCCTCCTCTTTAATGAATTCAAGCCGTGCGCCTGTGTTTGTTTGGTGTGTGTGTGTGTGTGTGTGTGTGTGTGTGTGTGTGGGGGTGTGTGTGTGTGTGTGTGTGGGGGGGGGGGGAGCTCTCACTAACAAACAAATCAAGTCAATCTTGACACCGACTGCCGAACCCCATACAACAAACTGATGATCGCAGCATCAGCAAACAAATTAGCAAAAAGTGTAATTACTCGGGTATGCGTGTCAGGTTTTGCCAGATTTATTCAACAATTTACACTTTTTACGGGCATAATTAAGAACCCGCATTTCCTTGTCATTCATTGTTTTTTCTGCGGCAGCTTTACTGTTATACCGTTATAAGCGTAGTTAAAATAATAAAAGAGCTAACTGGGAAAACAGTGGAGAAGGGTCGCATTACGGATCTGGAAAACAGGTCCTGATCTTAGATGAGATTCATGGCGATTTTCAGGTAGGTATACGGAGGAACAACGACGGGGATAGACCGTGGATCTGGGAAGAGGTGGCGCACACAACAGTACAGTATTGTAAAGCAATAGTAATTTAATTATTATCATAGGGAGTCTGTGCTACAATAAATATGTTCGTATTTTATGTATGTCAGCAGCCACTATTTTCTACTAATTACAGATACTAATTTGGACACGTAACTAGTCCAATTGGAAAGTCGAAGTCCAACCCCATCCCCATATAGCCTACGTATGCCATCTGCAGAGTAAAACCAGAGACGTGACAGCAGGTGATGCCGACCGGTTCGGATGTTTAGAACCCCGTTTGGAACATTAAATTATTTAAGACTTTTGAGTTGACATAGACATAATTTAGATAGGCCTAATAAAAAAAAATGTTACTGCCATAAACCTATGAAGTATAGCTGGCCCTATATCGTAGGCATTTGAACTGAAAAATACACTGAAAATGTGAAGGGATGTAAGGAAATGATAGAACATACAGAGCTTATGTACAGTATACATGTACTTTTACTATACAGATTAGGGGGAAAACCGAGCGCGTTCACTCTTTAATTTAATAAAAAAAAAATAAGCCTATTATTGTTTTTAATTCGCAGACCTGTGGTCGTTTGAGAATAGTGCGGGCTGATGAGTTTTCAGTCCAATGTTGCTAAACAGGCTACGCTACACGCAAGCAAACGCACTGTCACCGGTGGTTGTAAAGTGCCGTCACATTGGAAACGGTAAATGCAATAACAAGGGGGGGGTAATTAAAAAGCCATTATCTGAAACCACAAATCCTCCAGTGAGTAAGTGGAGGCTTTGGCCGGAATGTTTAAAGGTAATCTCTGTTCGGCAGGCGTGATGTGACTTAGCGCAGCCTCCGCATCTGCCTTAGTTAAGGTTACGGCAGGTTCACGCGGCCTGTTCATTTCCTTTGGACGAATGCAGACTCGAAGCGCTGTGTACAAAAGTCGCCTAGGATTAAACAAACAATATTCATTTGCAAATTAGAAGGAAAAAAGGTTCAAACTGTTTTGGAAACCAAAACAAAGGTGGTACTGAATGGGGGGGGGGGGGGGGTCATTACCTTGAATAAACATTACAAGTTGCCAAAAACAAAACTTTTCCCCTTCTGTGACATATTTCTGGTTTTAATAGGTATTTGGTTACTTCAACATGCCATGCTTTTTAAAAGATGTTTTCATTGCAAATAAGAAAGATACTTGTAGCAGGGTGTTGGATTTTTGTAGCACGGTGCTCAGAATCTAACTTGAAAATTGTCAAAGAATCATTGGCCAACTTGTCCAGCGACTCGGGTTATGGTGGCTCTGGTAGGAGACGCTTAGGTCCCTGGCGTCTCTGTTCAAGGTGGCCGAAGGTCGAGCCCACCGCCCGGTTATTTCCCACCCACTGCACATTCAGAGCTAATGGGGAGACGTGACGCAGCGGCCGTGTCCGGAAACCCGCTGTGGGACCCCCAGGGTGCCCCCAGCGCTCTCCGCGAGACTGCGTCGGCGCCGCCCTCCACGAGGGCAAACAGATTTATACCCGCCCCAGTGCCAGCGCACGCCATCACTGTACAGTTATTACCGCCAAATACCAATGCCTCCCCGCATCCCATACGGCGGCCTGGCTGACGACAGCATTTATTCAAAGATGGCACTGGACTGAGAACAGGGAATGATGACGGACCTTCGTTTTGGCAGGGCCAACACCCCCCCCCCCATCCTCTTACTGACAGACTTTGGTATCGGTGCCTGTGACTCCCCCCCCAACCCCCCACATTATGCCACAGTGCTGTCAAAAACCTCCGTTTGCCCAGTCAGATCAATGTGTTTTTACAAGCCGGGGCAACAAAAACAAACGGAGGTCTCCCTATTTGCGCAGCCCTTTCCCCTGCATGTCCCGATTATTTTTAGTCTCTGAATACAGTGCTTTTTACTTCTAAATTCTTTTATACGCTGTATTTTTTAAAACACGAAATAAAAAAACAAAAAAACAAGCAAATGAAAACAACGAAAATGTGCTTTGTTCCCCGAGGTCAGTGGGGCTGCCTTCAGCCATCTGTGAGAGTTTATGGCGAGATGTAATTGGTGTAATTTCAGTCATGCACTTCAGTGGCCGTACAGATTCGGCAAAGGCTCGCGTCTCCTCTGCTCCCCTCTGCCCTCCCGTAACTATTTCGCACTCTTATGTGTGGAATGGGGGTGGAGGGGAAGGGTGGTAGATGATTTTCATCAGAATCTGTGTTTATCCTCGGCGTTGGTGCCGTCTGCGTCATATACGCGTCATATGCCTATGCATTGTCCGGTATACGCTTCCATGGTAGGTGCTAAAATATAAGAAATAACTGCAGTTTATGGGCACACCTTTATACATACAAAATTACTCTTAATTATCCAATTGTCAGAAATCATTCTAAAACCATTAACGCATCCCGCTCGGTGATTTACGGCCTTCGTTAATGCCGTAGCAGGAAGAAGTTAAAGTGCTAATTGCACACACACGCATGCGCGCGCGCACACACACACATACTTATCCATACACATAACCAGGGGAGTTGCAGCATTAGCATATAGTACCTACTGCTAGCACAATCCTGCTGGTCTCCTGCTTCGGAGGAAAGCACAGCGAGACCATGTCAAAGGCATTCTCTGTTTGAAGCTTTCAGCGACATCGTAATAACAGCGATCCTCAAATACCCAAAACTCAGACTAGGAGATCCACTCTCACCCACACAGAATCACAACGTGCCCGTTAGACATGTTCAACAGCCAATGAGAAATTTATTCAGTCACGTGTTTCCAGAAGCCTATTTTATTCAGCTCATGCAGCAAACATAGAAATATTCCTTATTAAGCCATTTGGCCTTTCTGGTACCATTTTAGATTTTTTGGGTTTAGGGGAAGAAATGCGCACTTTGTCCAGTGGATAAAATGACTTGTAATTTAATCAGTGTTGTTTCAATAACAGCTGCCAGTTTCCATGTGCTGCTCAACAAGGGGGGGGGGGGGGCATCTATAGATTAATGTGTCCATGCCAGACGAAAAGGGCAACAATATTCTGCTTTGCTGCTGAAATTAAGGAAGGGGTGTGCTGTGCCATAGCAGCAGAGGTTGTATCTAAGACGGATATTGCAGTTTATGGGTGAACAGGGAACTACAGGTGTGTCAACAAAGCTGACTGATGGGGGGGGGGGGGGGGCTCAGGCCAGCTCAGATTCCCACTCTCTGATTGGCCCATTTCAGAATTCCTGGGAACAAAAAAATAGTACATAAAAAAGCACTATGCAACACAGCACACAGAATCCATACTGAATAGTACTCTGATTACTGACCAAATACAGAGAGAGGGTCACTATTATGGAGTATCACTGGGACAATTTACACACGAAAAAGACACATAGCTGCTGGGATTATCTTGGACTATAACTGCCTAGATTAAACCAACTACAACTAATCAAGTAACCGGCAAGAAGTGAGTTAAACCAGCTTGTTGACAGAACAAAATAATCCTACCTAATATGCGTTGCGGGTCCCCGTTTTCTACCCTCTTTATAAAGTGAATCATAACACTGATCTGCACTATACTAGACACCCCGGTACAAAGGATGGAAGCAAGGAAAATGCAAGGAACATCAATCCTAAATGTGACTGTTGTCAGCTGGATTCCAGAACATTCTTCAAAGGATTTCAAATGGGTTTTTCTGGAGGGCTGAATTGCTCTATATTACCTACCAGCAGAGCCATGGCTCAGCTCCACAAGGCAGCTGTGGTGTACCAGTAGCGTTAGTAGCGTCTACTGGTGAGCAGCACAGATCAGTTCATCTGACTAAAGCGCCATTTTAAGCCGACCGATAAGGTCTGTCGGTGCCAGCTGGAATTTGCACTAAGCCAATTAAGTCTTCTCGTAACAGGAATTGAGAATCCGAGAGCTCTTGGTTGTTCCAAGTTATGCGGAAATCTTTAGAAACGCATTTAAGAAGCCGACATATTTCATTACGGGGCCCTTAGAGTTTAATTCGGTGGGTGGGTAGATAGTCTCAGATTGCATTCATGTTAATTATTCGCTACGGGCCAGAATGAAACCATACGGCAGGTTGAGTCACGGTTATAGAGAAAGAATTCCCCGAAAGGACGGCTGCATAGCTCCGCGTCTGGGTCCAGGCACCAGGGGGTCCGGACACCTGGTAGTCAAGGCCCCAGTTCAACTCAGTACAACCCAAAGCAAGCAAGGCGATACACTGAATAAAAAAAATGTTGCTCAATAACCTTTATTTAAACAGGCGAGTTAATTAAGAAATTCTTATTTACAATAAAATTCAGCTGCACGACGCTGCAGTTAAATAGGAAATAATAAAGCTTAGCATGCATGCGTCACTGCACACGCGCGCGCACGCAGCGGTGCAGGAGTAAAAACCCTTCAGCGGGGGAGCAGGGTTTGTGCCATCTGTTTTTGCAATCATACATCCGCAGTAAACGTAGCTTTAAAACTTACTGGACTGTGAGCGGTAAAGAGGGCACCATCAGCTCGGGAAAGGGCAGGCTTGTCGGGGGGGTTCAGCCTGGGGCACGGAAGGTGCCGTGGACCAGGCGCTATCAATCAGCGCCATCCACCAGCGCCATCCACCTGCAGATGGTTATGGTTCGCTTACAACCATCCAAGTAGGGACGCCTGCCTCCGCGCGGGATAGTTGCGCAGTTTTAGCTGGCGCGTTTCCAGCACTTTCTCGACGACGTAATAGCCTTTGATCACAGTAGAGAAACGCTTTGCTGACCTGGTAATACCATTTAAAATTGTTTTATTTCAGGTTCTTACAGCATGGGTGTTACTGAACTTTATTCATTTCGCAAACAATTTATCTGGCGGTGTAATGACTAAAGTGTCGCAAAATCCCCCGATTAGTTAGTACAGGAAGTTCCCCTCTGTTTAATAATCAAAAATGTAGGCTACGGGTATTAAATTCGGCAGGTGCTATTTCTCTGCGCATCACTCTTCCCTTATCTTTAATCGCAATTTCTCTTTGTGTTGTGGCATTAATGAATCCATTTAAAAATCCCCTCGCACTATATGCTAAATCAATGGCGTGGATTTTCCAGGCTGCTGAGCTGTCTAGTACAACCATCCCCCCACTAACAGCACCAGCACCAGCACCAGCACTGCCCTCCCCCCTCCCACTTCATGCGGGAATCCGGGGCTGCTCATGAGCGCTCTCACGGTGTCGGGCTCGGCTGTCGGAGCCAGAGAAAGCCGCCTGCGATGGTGTGAGAAACGCAGAGGACGCGCCCCCCCCCTCCCGACTCCGCGGCGGCTGACGCGAATAAATTAGACCGCTTTGAAAAGGCTGCAGCTGCTGTCTACGGGAGAGAAGACAGAGCAGCTCCCCGTGTTTGTAGGGCAGCAAAGGATACCGACAAGGTCGCCTCTATCGAATATTTTATACCAGCCTACACAGGAAAATAGAAATATTTGATCTGAATTGAAATGTAGCCACAAATACAAAAATACCTGGCGATGCAAATGTTTCACGTAAAAGCTGCGTTGCTCCAATGTTCTGTTAATCCCGACGGTCAACTGTGCTCAGGTTATACTAAGGTCGAAGTATTTATCATACTACATGTGAACACAAATATTTCAGGTCCTTACTATTTTTATTCAAAAACAACAACACCCCCACATGCTACAATGAATGTATGCTCAGCACGCCTAGAATCGATAAATATGTGGTATAAGTGCAGTCTTGGAGATTTTTGGGGCAAAAGCGTTAAATCCATCCGAAATTAACTCCTTTAAACTGTCATTGACCTGTGGGATGCAAATTTATTAATAGATTTTTTGGAAGACATTTGAAATCTTGTAGTGTTCACAGGGCTAATTTTCCTAATAGAATATAGGCCTATGTCAGAATCTAAATTATTCTGTCGAGCGGCCACGGTGTCTGCAGAGGACCCGTACTTAAGTCTTATTGTTCTTTCACACAGCTTTTTCCCCACTGACAAATTTATTAATATCGGTATAGCTTAATTGTACAATAAGGGTTACGGGTTCAGTCCTCTCCAGAGAAAACCTGCTTTAATCCAGCGCTGCTTTTGACCTCTGCCCCGTCCCACGTCTCAGATGCGCCGCTGTAGGCAGGATCGACGTAGGGAAACCATCCGACGGTTGTTTACACCTTTTGAGAATAATTACCCCAAAATAACAGCGCATGATTAAACGGCGAACTATTTAAATCCTTTAACGAATTAACAGCTATGCAAATAAAGAGGCTTCACGCGAGAATGTGAACATGTAGGCTAAATGTCAGGCACCGTTTCAAGCAAAGGCAAGTCTAATAAGCAGCGCGCGCTGACACCGTCACTCATTCAGCAGTACTGCTGCTGGCCTTGGTGCTATACTACCGAAAACATGGAAAGACACGCACACACTAGCCTTACCGCCCGTCCCTGGCACGGAAATCCCCGGTATATATCCCCACTATGTTACTGCCTTGCGCTTAATAATAACCCGTTTTATGTTCATGCATGATCACTCCGATTAGTTGACATATGCGGGGGAAATGGCTAAAAGTCTGCTGAAAACATCGCTATAAAGGTAGTGGCTCGGAAGCGGTGTTCCCGGGGGCTGATTTTTCTTCCCCCAGCCCCGTTAGGCACCGCATTCATCACTAGCGCCCTCGCCAAGTCGCTCCCTACCCAGACCGGGGGCGATACGCCTCCCCATCGCTCGACATCATGAGTAATAGGGGGATGTGCCGGGGAGCCGGGATACTGGCTGTCAGACCCCCGGACCCGCCAGTGCAGGTCGAGGCAGGGAACTCCATGCTGACTGATGTCAAATCAATGGCTCATAATTAATATCCAGATGGGTTTAATCAATGGGTTATTATAAATATCCCAATCTCCTGTCCAATATCTGATAGTGTAAAGGAAACAAAATGATGCTTGTTTAGAAAAAATCTGACTACCTTAGAGAAAGACCACCTTTGCATGCCAAAAAAAAGCCAATGACCAAGCAGAAGAATTAGATTCATCGCCTGTTTTTCTCAACAGCGCCACATTAAAGGCTATTGTGTCATATGTTAATCGCTCGGTAAGTGTCGGTAAGTGTTACGGCCAAGTGCTGGGAATGTCCTTTTATAAGAAAGCATGCTTTTTATGTATTGGCTCGCCCTACGGTTAGTTGTCTTTCCTGATCTGACAGAAGTGGTGGTGGTGGTGGTGGTGGTCGGAGGGGCTCAGTGAAACCGCATGCACGGCTCCTAACCAGACCGCGCACACTCACACAGCGGTCTGCCTGTTTTCTTTTAATAACACAATCTGGGGAAGCAGCCGAAGAAAAGCCTGGGGCACTGCGGTAAACGAGGTCGATCGCTAACATTATTTCTCCGGCGCGGATATAAGAGCCCCCCTGTCCCTCTGTGAAAGCCGCTGCTTGTCTGCGGTACCGCCGCGTCCGCGCCTCGGTCTCCGCGAAGCCCCATCCCGCATCGGCGCCTCCTGCTCGCTAATGAGCAGTTCCTGTTGTTAAAATAAAAGGAAAGTTTAACGAGGCATAGCCGGTTGTGCAAGCCCCCAATCCCGCCCCCCACCCGCAGCGCGGGGGCTTTGCACAAACGTGCAGCCTCCCCCTCCCCTCGGAGCGTTTCCTTTAACACGTCCTGCCTCGCTTGAGCCTATTTTATATGTGGGCAGCCTTTATGTTGCAGGTTAGCTTATCCCCACGTCCCCCACCACGCGCTGCCTGTAGTCCAGCGGCCGACCCCCGTCTCTCCTATACGGTGTCCGACCCTTATGGAAACGGCACATCGATGCAGGAGGAAGCCGGCGCGCCCGATGCGCAGCTCCTGCCAAAATGCCCGGGGCAGCCGATGTTAAACAGCATCCAATTACACAACACGCTGCGATTAGGACGGACGATTTCTTTCCGCGTCGCGGCAAGAGAAGCGATTACTCTACGTCTACTTAAGATCTTAAACCTGCCTAATATAATCCCTGTGCATGTAGAAATTAGAGGGGTTTCTCCATGCGCAGGCCTGAACACAAGATGGGGAAAAGCAGAGGCGGGTCCAGATGATGCGGAGCGTGAACGGGTGTCATGTGTGAGGCTTTATGTGCTTCTCCTTATTAAAGAGTCACGCTGACCTCGCTCCAGGGCCACAGTTACGGGATATATATTTTTTATTGCTTTACTCACAAATCAAGGAGCGCTTTCTCTGTATAAAACAAAAACAGAAAGTGCCGACGATGTAAGCAGATGAGTCATGCCTTTCAGAAATTAAGTGCAGACGGCGAGACCTTATCTCTAACAGCCGAAGAACGCTTAAAATGCGGCGGCAGTCTGTTTACTCGCCTGTGCATATTTGTCCCACGTGTTGCGTTCAGAGGTGGCAGTCTTTGTCATCCGCAGGCAAGCTCGCTGCCATTTTAAACGAGCCTTTTTTAAATATATATATAAAAAACTATTGACGGACAGCAGCGGGCTGAGGAAGTGTTATGTGTAAATTTGAAGAGTAAGGGAGGTGTTAAGGGGTTTTGGGAAGCCCCGGAACATGAGGCGTCTTAGGCAAAGGTACACATGCCCGCCTACGGGTGTATGTACGCTTGTACCCACCACATAAGAGCAGGTATCTGGTGGGACGGGGATTGAACCTGCCTGTGAGTGACAGCGACAGTAATCCCCCCCCCAGGTTTGGATGATCAGGTAATGTAAGGTGAAGGGTGTGTAATGTCCCCAAGGGGTGAGAAGTCCCTCCAGCTCTGTGGGAGTTTGGGGGTAGGGGACAGAGCACTGTAACTGCTTGCCGATCACCAGGGAGGCTGTCAGGCTGATTCCTGACGCGGGCACGTCTGGCTCAGTGGCAGGAGCTACATCAAAGTGACAGGTGAGCATGCCGATTGCGGGGCAGCATGGTGAACTGGCATCAATTCCATAACCCTGCCAGTTTGCATCCCCCCCCCCACCACAGCTCCCGGTCAATGAGGTCAGGTTAGGTCACCGGCGTCAGTAGACACTCCAGTCACGTGTGAAGGCCAGATGTGGACTGTTTCTTGGCGGGTGGGGGGTGTATTTCATCAATGTGTGAAACAGCATAAAAATAGGAATGGAATAAAACAGAATTTCATTTCGGAAGGGGGGGAGGGTTTATAAAGCAAAAACGATTCAGGCTGAGGAAGGACGCACGGCCTTTCAGGCCCTGGGGGGGTACCGGACACCTTTCCTCGTTTGATGCTTATCTCCGCTGGGCTCCTTGATCTTTCTCTCTCTCCGTCCTCTGCGTGTCTCGGGCCTCGATGGCAGCGGGAGGAGCCGCAGTTTTATGACATTAAATATTAAGACCTGGGAATTAATAATAGAGGCTGACAGCTCATCCCCAGTGCCGGGCTGGCTGTCCTCCTGTCTGCCGCTCCATGCAGGCCTGGCTCTCTCTCTCTCTCTCTCTCTCTCTCTCTCTCTCGCTCGCTCGCACACTCCCTGTCCTGCTCTCCTGCATTTTTACCCCTCAATCTCACTCCCGGTGCTCACATCCAGGAAACAGATCCTCCAGGGTGGTGTCTGGAGAAAAAAGACAAGGGTGTAGGGGACTTTCAGGCCCAGGAGGCATTGCCAGGTTATCAGGCACACGGCGGGGCAGCCCTGTGTGGTCCTCGTGGCTTTGTGCCCGGGGCCAGCTGCGAGGAAGCGGGTGACGCAGACGTGCCATCACTCGCCTGTCGTAAACACAGCACCGGCGCTCGCCGGCCCAGCTGGCTCCAGCATTTATGCGAAAATATCCCAGCCTGT